AAAACAATTTAATAATAATAATAACAATAATAATAATAATAAATAGAAAAACTACCGATACTCCGTATCTATAACGCAATGAAAAAAACAGTAACAACGTCTGAGTATTTGTGCTCATTGTGACCTTTAAAAATTTTAAAGATAAAACGTTTACCATAGGCATGACTCAGAAAATAAAATCCAACGAAGAAAAAAAAAATTAAAAAAAGTTTTTCCCGCCCCCCTTCCCTCCACCGCCTCCCCCCTCCCAGTTTAAAAAAATTTTCTATAAATTTTTTTTTAAAAGATTTCAATTAAAAAATTAAATAAAAAATAATAATAATAATAATAATAATACGACACAGGAAAAAAAGAAAAAATTAATTAATTAATATTTAAACACTCTTATCAATGATGATGATGATGATGATGATGATGATGATGATTACGTACCTTTAAGCCAGGAGCGTAATAATAACTATTTTTTAAAAATTGATATCTAAATAAGCTCCCATATAATTTAGGTTGAGTTAAACTAGTCGCGACGAGTGGTGCGGTTTCGTCGTTTTTATAACTGGAATTCCTAGTTCCAGTACTACTACTACTACTACTACTACTACTGGAATCCCTCGATGAATTTCCCATTTTATACAAAATACAATAAATAAATACGAATAATAATAATAATACTGTTCAATGATGATGATGATGACATTTAATCAAAAAAAAAAAAAAAATGATTATTATTATTGAACGCGAAATCGCATGATAAAAAACTGTGAATAAATAATAAGTGAGTGAGTGAAATGAACGCTTAATATTTTCCTTTTTTTTTTTTTTTTAAACACAAAACGAAAAGGAAAAGCGTTAAAAAAAAAGAAAAACAAATGAAAATTCAATAAATTTTAAATTGTGTTTGAAAAATTAAATAATAAAAAAATTTTTTTTTTTTAAGAAATGCAATAACTTAAATTAAATTTACGTTTTGCACGTGTGTAAACGATTCGTGATATAAACTTTTAATAAATAAATAAATAAATAATATTAAGACATTCAAAAGATAATAAATAAATAAATGATAAATTTGATTACATGTACAAAACTATTCAAACTCGCATTAAATTAAATAAATAAATAAATTTTTTTTTTTTTTTTTATTATCGTTTACCTCGGTTTCCATACGGTAAAAATTTGAAAAATCGTACTCGTATGCTCTCACTTTTATTTATTTATTTATTTATTTTATTTTTTGTTTTTTTTGAAAAACTTTGAAAAATTTTTAATAAAATAATTTTACTCCCCCCCCACCTTCTCCTCCCCCAAAAATTAAGAAAACTCAACTAATTCTTTTAAACTTTTTTTTTTTAAATAAAAAATGAATCGAGAGTAACTGAATCTTTACAGAATAATTTTAACATACAAAAAAAAATTTAAATAATTATTTATGCGAATTTTTTGTTTTTTTTTAAAGATTCAAATAACAACATAAATTAAAATTGCATGAATAAATAATACACGCACGTGATATTTAACGCTTATAATTACACGTGCACACGCACACGCACACACTCGCTAATTTATAAAAAAAAAATTAATTTAATTAAGGTAACACAATTTGATATATATATATATATGTATAAAAACGACACGAGCTTTTTATTACGTTAATTCAAATTGCACGTTTTTGCTTGAATTTACATGCTTCCTAATACAAATCGATTAGTTAATCGATTGATTGATTTAAAAGAATCAATAAATCGATAGTTTAAAGTCTACACTCATATAGAAAATTTCGAGAAAAAAAAAAAAAAAAAAATTTAACCAAATATTTTATCAGTTTTTACTATTCAATTGAACTTTTCACATGTTGACAATCAATCAGCAAATAAAACCAACATTCAAAATTATTATTAAACGTTTTTAAAAAAAAAATTCTAAAATTAGATTTTTTTTAAAAAATTAATTGAATTAGTTTTAAAATAAATTAATTTACGATTTTATTATTTGTTTTAGTTATTAAATAATTTTGTTGCTTAAAATAAATTATTTTATTTATTTTTCATTTTAAATCATTTCCCTTTTAAACTTGAAATTTTTATATAACGGTAATTGAAATTTTAAAAAAAAAAATTTTTTAAATTTATTATTTTTGGCTTTATTTAAATAATAATAAAAAAAAAGTGATAAATTTATTGACCGTTAGGTTTATTATTATCGTCGATAAATAAATTAAATTAAATTAATTTATTAAAATTAATGACTATTTAACGATGAAAAAGTGTTTCGATGAAAATGTTACTCGTTTTTAAAAAATAAAATAATGATGATTAGTTTTTAAAATCTTATTCGCAAAAAATTTATCATTTTGAATTTTATGATAAGTAACATATCATAAAGTAAAATTTTTAGTAATTACTAATAATGATAATATTTTAAATTCTACCAATCGTGATAAACATTATGTTTACAAAATGTTTTATATGCATACCAGTACGAAAATCAACTCCTTAGCTTTATGTAAGGTACCATGTTTTACAAACCGCATGCCTTTTAGAATTTTAAATTTTAACTTTTTTTTTTTTTTTTAAAAACCTTGCTAATTAAAAAATTCATTATTAAATTTAAATTTTTAATATAACTTTTTGAAAAATTCTAGTTAAAAATAATAACTAGGATAACAAACAATTGGAAAACATTACGAATTTTTTTCACAATAATGATTAAAAATTCGCAAAGACGATAATAAAATCAAGATATTTTAAGGAACAAACTAAATTATTTTGCATAAATGAATTTTCAAACAAAGATGTCATCACTCATAAGTGATGATATAAATGATGATAAATTTATTTTACCCTTTTTGTATTGAAACACAATTTAATAAACGATTAAATATTATGTTTACGAATGAACTAGGTAAAAACATTTTTAGTTACTGCACAAAAGTTATTGAATTAGTAAAATAACTATTACATTATATATTACATATTAGTGGAAAAAAAATTATTATAAATTTATGTGAATATGCATTTTTAGTAAATTTAAAAGATAATTGTGCAAATACAACATAAAAATACAGTCTCAGATAATATTATTAATGAAAGAAAATTCTACTATAATATTAAAAAATTATTAAATGAGAAATTATGACTAATATCAAAAAATTTTTTAAATACATTATTCTAAAAGCAGAATACCTTTAATACTAAAGAAAAAAATTATTCGAAGACTTTTTTTTAACCAATGAATAAAAAAGAAACTGAATAAGGATACAGTTATGAGTTTTTTTTTCATATTAAACATAAAATTATTTATTTTTTACGATTTTGAATTACTTTTGCAGTTAAAAAAATAAATCTATTCATTATATAAAATAAATATTTGTTTCAAGTTAAGATAATTCAAAATTTTTTTTTAAAATAAAAATTAATAATTTTTGAGTGTCAAGTATTCAAAATAATACTTGAAAAATTCAATAGTTTTTCACGATTATGTATTAAAATGAAAATTATTATTTAAACATACCTTAATTAATTAACATTCCCGTAAATCTTAAACCAATGTCATCCTAATTCATTTTAGTCATGAGATAGATGTCTTTAAGAGTCAACCTCTTGGATAAATTAGAAATAAAATTATTGATAAATTTCACTGAGGTATTAACATACTTGATAACTTATGAAGCAATTCAATGAATACGGTTAATGGCACGCATTGGATTAAATGTTTTTTTAATAAAAATTCTATGATATTCCCAAATAACTACAATTACCGTTTGAATTTTAATAATAAACAGCTGCGTGTAAATGCAGTTGGTACTTCAACAAGACTTTGGAAAACAGACTGGTTGGCGACACTTTTCATAAAGTATCACCTTTTTCAAATGTTAGCTGTCATATTAATATTTAATTGAATAATAATAAATAAACGATATTTTAATTGATTTTTTGTTATGAAAAATTTTTTCTTAATATATGTACATAAAACTCCTGCCATATATTGCAAAAAATTAAAAACAATTAATTTTTAATAAAGACAATAGACTTGTTGCTTAAGGGTTTACTCATTATTATTACTTAGTTATGACTCATTTATTATAAGTCAAAATTTATTTATTTAATTTTCTCGAGAGGAAGCTCATGTTATTTATATTTTTTAAAAAAAGTTTTCGGTTATTTGTGCATATTTTAAATATTAAAATTTAAAATTTTTTGACTAATTTTTTTCAATGGCTTTGTACCCATCTTTAGAAGATTTAAAAGTCGATCAAGCAGTGAAGGTGATAAAATTTATAAGTATTTATTAAATATACGAAGTAGTTCAATGCCAATATATTTAAAATATTTATTTTAAAAGTAAAAAATTCAATTTAAAACTTCCGTATGCAATCTGTAAACATTTCAACAGTTTACGAAAATAAAAGAATACAAAAAGTTACAACTTAAAAGTCTCTCATACGATTTTAATTTTGTATTTGAAAAGAAATTTCTTTTTAATAATTTGTATTTTTTTTTTTTTTTAGGCTCAAAATGGCTCTTCAAGTGGTGAGATTCAGTCGACAAGTCAGCCTTATAATACTCATTCATTTGCACCTTCTGCACCCCTTCTAACTATTTCAGATAAAAGTAATGCATTGTCAGTTAAATATCCTGCCTTAAATGAATATATGGGTTTAGAACTTACTCGTGAAGTTATTGCTGCTAATATGCCTGAATATTTGGATACACCTATTAATGTAAGACTTTGGCAGTACCTGAAATATCATTACTATCATGAATCTTTAACAATAATAATAAATTTTTATTGAAAAGTTATTTTTTTTTTTTTTTTAGTAATATTAGGCTTATTTTTTTATATTAGTTTTTTAATTTTTTAATTATTCAATGAGGTTTTTTTTTTTAAGTCAATGGCTACAAGAATTTTATTTTAATAAATTACTTTTAGATGCAGATAGCTACAAGACCTGATTATTCTGTTGAACCTGTCAATAATTTGTGCAATCTTGTGGCTCCTGTCTCTGGTCATTCATTAGCTTTGTACAAAGCTCATGTTACTAATGGAATCAGACAGGTATAATGTATTAGCATAAAATGAATGAATTTTCTTATAGGACATTATTTTTATTGTTTAATTTTATCTCAGTTAACACTCTGCAAAGATGGCGACAAAAAGGTTGGTTTAAGAGTTCAACCTGTAAATAATGGAGTTTTTGTTAATCTTGTTACGAAAAATTCGCCTGCAGCTATGGCAGGTTTTAGATTTGGGGATCAAATTTTAGAAGTAAATGGTAAAAGTGTAGCAGGACTATCAATGGATGCAGTGCATGATATTATCAAAAAGTCTCCTTCAAGTGGTATTTCATTTATTGTTAGAGATAGGTATAATAAATTTTAAAATAGTTTTTTTTTTTGTACATTAACTTTTACAAAAATATCTATACAAAATAATTTTTAATTTTAGACCATTTGAAAGAACAGTGACTCTTCATAAAGATAAAACTGGTCATGTCGGTTTTACTTTTAAAGAAGGAAAAGTGACTGGGTTAGTAGTGGATTCTTCTGCTGCTAAAAATGGTCTATTGACTGAGCATAATCTTTTAGAAATAAATGGCCAAAATGTTGTAGGATTAAAGGATAAAGAAATTACTAAGATTATTGCAGATGGAGGAAATGTAATTACCGTTACTATTGTTCCTTCTTACATTTACCAACATATGACAAAGAGGTATGTTGTAATGTTTTCTTTCGAGAAAATAAGTGTTTTGTTCCAACCTTTTTGGTGCATATTAAGTGGTTACAATTTAAATTTTTAAAATGTTTTCAGCATGTCATCTGGATTGCTTAAAAATTTTATGGATCGTTCAGTTCCAACGTTTTAAAGACTTTTCGTAACATTCCTTTAAAAAAGAACATAAAAAAAAAAAAAAAAAAAAAAACAATAAAATTATACTTTGTCGTATAATATATATATTTACATACCATTATACCAAGTACTTGCATTATTTAGTATTTTAGTTGAAAAATTTATTTAGAATGGTAACTATATTTTATGAATATTCTTCCAATTTTTTTTTTAATAAAAAAAAAAATTAAATAATTTGTGCCAATAAAAATAAATCAAAAAGTGAATATATAACTTGTATTTGCTGATTGAATGAATTTGATTATTTTATAAGGATTTAATATAAACTTACTGAAGTCCATGCTTACATAAATTAAAAAAATAGTGTGGGCAATTTTATATTTTACTTGCTCAGTTTTTGCCAAATTTTATTTAGATTAAATAATTGCCAAACTTTAGAATGTAAATGATTATAGTTTAAATTGTACTGATTGAATTTTATTTTAATGATAATGATAAAATTTAATGTACTAAAGATAAATAAAAACCACTATTTAAATATTTGTTTATTTTATAAAAGAACAAAATTTATAAACTAATGTACACAATCAGTAGAATATTTTGTATTATTTTTTATATTTTTATACCTCATTATAATTATTGACTGTTAATCAATTTGATAACATTGTATTAAGTTAAAAATATTATTTTTACGTGCATTAAATAAATTTATATTATTGTTTATTTAATTTTATTTTATTTTAAATATTCTTATGTTTTTTTATATTATTTTATTTTATTTTTAATTTTACTTTGATTTAAGAAAAAAAAATTGCAAATTCAAAATATTGTTTAAAAATACTTTATGTAAGAACGTTTAAATGTATTAATTAATATTTGTAATTTTAAATTTATTAAATATATAGTTTATGAAGTTAATTAATGATTTATGTCTAATTATTAAAATCCCAGTTTATCAAAAAATTATCTTGTTTAAAAAATATTAAATAAAAACTGATAATTTTTAATAAATTTTAGTTTTGTTTTGTTATTGATAAGGTAAGTAATGCATCCAGCATAATATTTATTTTACGATGTTATGCAATAAATAGCATAATATTTGTTAAAAACAATTAATCCGGCTATTTATTACTAAGATTTAATATTTTCTTTTAATTAAATTATTTCAAATGATTTGCAGAAATTTGACATCGCAATACTTTCGATTTTAGGGAATTTATAATGGAAATTTTGATGTATTAAATTAATTTAATTTTTATTCAAGTGATATATAATTATGCGTGGTGTAAATTTTAAATTTCCTTTTTCTACATGAACAAGTTTTTCTTTTTATTTTTAAATTTTTAAAACTTGTCGTAATAATTTACGGTTTTTTATGTAAGCATATAAGACTAAATAAATATGGCTATTTGAAAATTTTTGTTTTTTAGCTATCCGGCTTAAAAACCGGAAACGGAAATTTCTTGTAGTCATGGCGTCTCTTGTACGGCGTTTTAAGTAGACGCGAAAGTGAAAGAAATTTCCATGTAATTCTTTATTCTAGTAAAAGAAAGTAAGTTGTTATTAATGTATTTTATTTTACTCTTTTAATCAATATTAAATAAAAGTAAAAATTCGGTATTTGCCTTTTGTATGCATGATATAAATTAGACATTTTTAAAACCTTTTGACTTTTAGAATTCTATCTTTGAACAGTTTTCTTTTTTTTTTTTATTTCTACGTTAGACGGAAACTTTTGAGCCACTTTGCTATTGTGTATAACGTACTTTTATTACAAATAATATGAATAAGTTTTAGTCTTTAAATGTGCTCTTATATAAACCATTCCGAAATGTAAGATAAATTGCAATTTTTTTTAAAGGAAATTTAAATAAGAATGGCCATTCCGCCGTATCTTATTCCCCCTCACACTTGGGCCACAATGATGGCCCAACAGCAAGCTCATGCTCAATTAGCTGCTGCTCAAGCTGCTGCTGCAATGCAAACTCAAGCCATTCAAGCCCAAAGAGCTACCTTAGTGGCCCCAGTAGGACCTGCACCTGCGGTACCCAAGCCACCTGAGGCTGTTTCTGAGGAAAAACTTCAAGAAAAAGGTAGCAATTTTTATAATAATGATTTTATATAGTTTTTATTTAAACTTCAACTAATTTAGAAGTATATTAATGACAATTTACTTCAGCTCAAAAATGGCAACAACTGCAAAGTAAAAGGTTTGCTGAAAAAAGAAAATTTGGCTTTGTGGATGCACAAAAAGAAGATATGCCACCAGAGCATATTCGTAAGATTATTAGGGATCATGGAGATATGAGTAGTAGAAAGTATAGACATGATAAAAGAGTTTATTTAGGGTAAGCAAATTTTTATGCAGTTCTAACGATTAAAAATTGTAAAACTTTAAAACATAATGTTAATGTATTATATTTTTGTAGAGCATTAAAATACATGCCTCATGCTGTGATGAAGCTGTTAGAAAACATGCCAATGCCATGGGAACAAATTCGAGATGTCAAGGTTTTGTACCATATTACTGGTGCAATAACATTTGTAAATGAAATTCCATGGGTTATAGAGCCCATATATATAGCACAATGGGGGTTAGTAATAATATAGTGCAAATTATAATTGTAATGTAGCTTAGTTTTTAATTATCTAAAGCAAAATTTAAAAAATACTTTTTTAAATATAGTACAATGTGGATAATGATGAGACGAGAAAAGAGAGATCGTCGTCATTTTAAGAGAATGCGGTTCCCACCTTTTGACGATGAAGAACCTCCATTAGATTATGCTGATAATGTTTTAGACGTTGAACCATTAGAAGCAATTCAGATAGAAATGGAACCAGAAGAAGATGGTCCAGTGGCCAAGTGGTTTTATGAGCACAAACCATTAGTAGGAACAAGGTTGTTAAAAAGAAGTGAGTGAGAAAAAGTTGTCAGTTACTTAATAATAACAGTTTTTTTTTTTTTTTTTCCTAAATAGGCATGTTAATGGTTCCACTTACCGACGATGGTACCTAACTTTACCTCAAATGGCAACACTTTACAGGTTAGCCAATCAATTGCTGACTGATTTGGTGGACGACAATTACTTTTATCTTTTTGACCATGCATCTTTTTTTACTGCGAAAGCTTTAAATATGGCCATACCTGGAGGTCCGAAGTTTGAACCACTTATAAAAGATGCTAATCCAGCGTGAGTTTTATTCTATTATTATTATTTTATTTGGGTTGCTCATTTATTACGATATCTAAATGAATTACTTTACAGGGATGAAGACTGGAACGAATTTAACGATATAAATAAGATTATAATTCGGCAACCCGTCAGAACGGAATATAGGATTGCGTTTCCTTACTTATATAACGATGTTCCTCACTACGTTCATTTGTCGTGGTAAGTGTTCATAATCATATAAAATAAATTTTAATTTAAATTAAATACCATGTATGATTAGTAATTCACATTAGTTTTGGGACATTGTAAGAAATAATATTATTGTCCTACTAAAATGTGAGACAGGAAAAGCGTAATTTATTAGTTGTAACTAAAGACTTGCATAACAACTGCTGAAAGCGCTAACATTAAAAAACTTTATTTGTGTTACATAAATGTTATGTATTGCTTTATGAATATCCAAATTATTTCAGGTATCATACTCCTAACGTTGTATACATAAAAACTGAAGATCCAGATCTACCAGCATTTTATTTTGATCCGTTAATTAATCCGATTTCACATCGTCATTCAATCAAGGTAAAAAAAAATTTATAACATCTCTAAAAAAATTTACAGGATTAACCTTAGGCTTTTTTTCAGACAACAGAACCTTTGCCGGAAGACGATGAAGATTTTGAATTGGGAGAAGAAGTACAACCATTTTTGCAAGAAACTCCTTTATATACCGACAATACTGCAAACGGTATTGCTTTGTTATGGGCTCCAAGACCTTTTAACATGAGATCCGGTAATTCAAAGAAAATGATAATTGTACTTACTTTTATAATAATAAAAATAATAGCACTCCTAATATTTTTATTTTTAGGAAGAACTCGAAGAGCCATTGATGTTCCCCTTGTGAAATCTTGGTATAGAGAGCATTGTCCTCCGGGTCAGCCTGTAAAAGTAAGAGTTAGCTATCAAAAATTATTAAAATATTATGTACTTAACGCTTTAAAACATCGACCGCCAAAACCTCAGAAAAAAAGGTTAGTGGAATGAAGTGTACTTTTGATAATTATTTCAAAAAAAATTAAATATTTTCTAAGTAAGCGCACATTTTTCAGATATTTGTTTCGGTCATTTAAATCGACCAAGTTTTTTCAAACGACTACATTAGATTGGGTCGAAGCTGGACTTCAAGTGTGTCGCCAGGGATACAACATGTTAAATCTTTTAATTCATCGAAAAAATTTAAATTATCTTCATTTAGATTATAATTTCAATTTGAAACCTGTCAAAACTTTAACAACGAAAGAACGAAAAAAGTCCAGATTTGGAAATGGTACATTTACAATTTTACGGTTTATTTAAAAGTTTAACTTAAATTTTTAATTTTTTTATGACGATTTTTTAGCTTTTCATCTTTGTCGAGAAATTCTTCGTTTGACTAAATTGATTGTCGATTCACACGTTCAATATCGCTTAAACAACGTGGACGCGTTTCAATTGGCAGACGGTTTACAATATATTTTCGCTCACGTGGGTCAGTTAACGGGGATGTATCGATACAAATACAAACTGATGAGGCAAATTAGAATGTGTAAAGATTTAAAACATCTTATATATTACAGATTTAATACGGTACGTATTAAAATAATTGTATCATTTTTATTTTTATTTTTTATTTTTAAATATTTTTTTACTTACAGGGGCCGGTGGGAAAAGGACCTGGATGTGGAATATGGGCTCCTGGTTGGAGAGTTTGGTTATTTTTTATGAGAGGAATAACACCGTTATTGGAAAGGTGGTTGGGTAATTTATTATCGAGACAATTTGAAGGAAGACATTCTAAAGGAGTTGCTAAAACCGTAACGAAACAACGTGTAGAGTCTCATTTCGACTTGGAACTTAGAGCATCAGTTATGCATGACATTGTCGATATGATGCCGGAGGGCATAAAACAGAATAAAGCCAGGACTATTTTGCAACATCTCTCCGAGGCCTGGCGCTGTTGGAAGGCAAATATTCCTTGGAAGGTAAATTTTGTAAATGTACTAAAGGCTGAAATCAATAGTTTTTTATTTTTTGTAAAATGATGATTCCGCAGGGGACCGGAATTCAGTCAAAAATGTGGACTGACAAATTGTTTTTCAATCACTTGAGGTGATAATTTAAACTTTTTGGAAAATGGCTGTCTGACAATATTTCTCGTACCGTACGCGATTGACAAATTTTTTTTCTTCCTTGTTAAGTATATTTTTTTTTAACAGGTTCCGGGATTGCCTATTCCAATTGAAAATATGATTCTTCGTTACGTGAAAATGAAAGCTGATTGGTGGACAAACACGGCTCATTACAACAGGGAAAGAATTCGAAGAGGAGCTACCGTTGATAAAACTGTGTGTAAAAAAAATTTAGGAAGATTAACTCGGTTATACTTGAAAGCTGAGCAAGAAAGGCAACATAATTATTTAAAAGACGGTCCGTATATATCACCCGAGGAAGCCGTCGCAATTTACACAACTACAGTACATTGGTTAGAATCTAGGCGTTTCGCGCCCATTCCTTTTCCACCTTTATCGTACAAACACGATACGAAATTGTTAATACTTGCCTTGGAAAGGCTCAAAGAAGCTTATTCCGTAAAATCACGTTTAAATCAAAGTCAGAGAGAAGAATTGGGACTTATAGAACAAGCTTATGATAATCCTCACGAGGCATTGTCAAGAATTAAACGTCATCTTTTAACTCAGAGAGCGTTTAAAGAGGTATTTCGTGCGAATGTTTTTTTTCATTAAGTTTTCGTCCCTATTATTAATACATAATTTAATTCTTTAAAGGTTGGAATAGAGTTTATGGATTTGTACAGTCATTTAATTCCAGTTTATGATGTTGAACCTTTGGAAAAAATTACGGATGCTTATTTAGATCAATATTTGTGGTACGAAGCAGATAAAAGACGGCTCTTTCCTCCATGGGTAAAACCGGCTGATACAGAGCCACCTCCCCTTTTAGTGTATAAATGGTGCCAAGGTAATATGCTTTACCATTATTAAATTAAAAAATTTGAACTTTATTAATTATTGCTTGATTATTATTATTATTATTATTATTAATTTTTATTAATTTTTAAAATAATAAATATTTAGGTATTAACAATTTGCAAGACGTGTGGGACATAAGTGAGGGTGAATGTAATGTACTTCTAGAATCCAAATTCGAAAAAATGTATGAAAAAATTGACTTGACTTTACTTAATAGACTTCTTCGATTGATAGTCGATCATAACATAGCTGATTACATGACAGCTAAAAATAATGTCGTAATTAATTATAAAGATATGAATCACACGAATAGTTATGGTAAGTGTTGTAATGAAATTTAATTAAATTTATTGACCTATGAAATTAATTTTTAAAAAATTGGATTTCAGGTATTATTAGAGGATTACAATTTGCTAGCTTCATCGTTCAATATTATGGATTAGTACTTGATTTATTAGTGTTAGGTTTACGGAGAGCTTCTGAAATGGCAGGTCCACCTCAGATGCCGAACGATTTTTTAACTTTTCAGGATGTTGCTTCTGAAACGGCTCATCCTATAAGGCTTTTCTGTCGTTACGTCGATAAAATTCATATATTTTTAAGGTAATTTTTTTTTTTTTTTTTGGTTTAAATCAAAGGCAAAGTGTATAATTTCATAAATTACATAATATGGTGAGGCTTTGGAAAAATGTAAAATACGCCTTTATTATTATCACTAATTCTCTACATAACATATCGCTTACAGCATAAAAAATTAATAACGTATATTTTTTTTTTTAAAAAATACAAAAACTTGTAACAAATTTTTTCATATTAATTAAAAGGTTTTCTGCCGAAGAAGCTCGTGAATTAATTCAAAGGTACCTAACGGAGCATCCAGATCCAAATAATGAAAATATTGTAGGATACAATAATAAAAAATGCTGGCCTCGAGATGCACGTATGAGACTTATGAAACATGACGTAAATTTGTAAGTAATATTTTTTTGTAATGATAAACAATTATTGTTTTTTATATTTGATCCCATTTATTTTTACACGAGCGAAAGTACAATATGTAGTTTTGGCTGGAAAAAAATGGGAAATAGTAACGCATTCGTACTGGCATTCAAACGTTTTAATTTGCATGCCGTCAAAAGTGCTACACATATTAATTTAATTATCAAATTTTCGAATAAAATTCACACGCTGAAATTACTTTTAGGGGACGTGCTGTTTTTTGGGATATTAAAAATCGATTACCACGGTCTACTACTACTATACAGTGGGAAAACAGTTTTGTATCCGTTTACTCGAAAGATAATCCCAATCTATTATTTAACATGAGTGGATTTGAATGTCGGATTTTACCTAAGGTATTAATTATTTTTGTTCTATTTCTTACGTTGAAATTTATCCATTTTAAACAATGCAAGCCTATTTTTGTAGTGTCGAACTACTCACGAGGAGTTTACTCATAAAGATGGAGTTTGGAATTTACAAAATGAAGTCACCAAAGAGAGAACGGCTCAGTGTTTTCTAAGAGTCGATGAAGAGTCTTTAGGACGTTTTCATAATCGAGTCAGACAAATATTGATGGCTAGTGGATCTACAACTTTCACAAAAGTAAATAAAACCCAAAATTAAATTTTTTAGATGCTTGATACAAAAGTTATTTCCATTTCTCATATTTTTTTTTTTAATTTCAGATTGTTAACAAATGGAATACGGCCCTGATAGGTTTAATGACATACTTCCGAGAAGCTGTTGTAAACACGCCAGAATTATTGGATCTTTTAGTAAAATGCGAGAATAAAATTCAAACGCGTATTAAAATTGGTTTAAATTCAAAAATGCCTTCCAGGTTTCCTCCTGTAGTTTTTTACACTCCAAAAGAATTGGGAGGTTTGGGAATGTTATCAATGGGTCACGTTTTAATTCCCCAGGTTTGCTTCATTTACTATAGCTTAATGACGATTTATTATTTTAAGGATAATAATAGCTAAATTTTTATTCTATTACAGTCTGACTTGCGATGGTCGAAGCAAACCGATGTAGGAATCACACATTTTAGGTCGGGTATGAGCCACGACGAAGATCAACTTATACCAAATCTGTACAGATACATACAACCGTGGGAATCGGAGTTTATTGATTCTCAACGTGTCTGGGCAGAATATGCATTAAAGCGTCAAGAAGCTAATGCCCAAAATAGGTCAGAAATAGTGATCGAGTATATACTATTATATGATAATTTGATAGTCTTGTACTTATTTTTAAAAATTGTTCATTTAAGGCGGCTAACTTTGGAAGATTTAGAGGATAGTTGGGATCGTGGAATTCCAAGAATAAATACATTGTTTCAAAAAGATAGACACACGTTAGCCTACGATAAAGGTTGGAGAATACGTACGGAGTTTAAACAGTACCAAGTTTTGAAACAAAATCCGTTTTGGTGGACACATCAAAGACACGATGGAAAGTTGTGGAATTTAAATAATTACCGAACGGATATGATACAAGCATTGGGTGGAGTTGAAGGAATATTAGAGCACACGCTTTTCAAAGGAACGTACTTTCCAACATGGGAAGGGTTATTTTGGTAAGTTTCTTTTATGAAAAAAAAAAAAAAAAAAAAAAAAATTGTTAGATTAAAAAATTATTGCATGGTAATATTATTAATGAAGATGACAGATAATCTTTATTGTATCAACTGTGCTAAATTAATGTAAAAAACAGGGCCTTAAGTTTTAGAAAATTAGCAAACGGCAGTATAATTTTACTACAATTTAATTATTCAACAAAATAACGAAATGAAATCTTGATTTATATTTTATCAAAATACTTTTTTAATTTAGGGAAAAAGCGTCTGGGTTTGAGGAGTCCATGAAGTATAAAAAGTTAACAAACGCTCAAAGGAGTGGTTTAAATCAAATTCCAAACCGGCGATTTACTTTATGGTGGTCACCAACGATAAATCGTGCTAACGTATATGTCGGATTTCAAGTTCAACTTGATTTAACTGGCATATTCATGCACGGTAAAATTCCAACTTTAAAAATTTCTTTGATTCAAATTTTTAGAGCTCACTTGTGGCAAAAAATTCACGAGTCTGTGGTGATGGATTTGTGTCAGGTAAATACAACGACAATTTTTACAGTAAATGTTTTGCATCTTGTAATCTGTACGGAACCTGAAAATCTCATCGGTTTTTTTTTTTTTTTTTTGATAATTTAGGTTTTCGACCAAGAATTAGATGCGTTGGAAATTGAAACCGTTCAAAAAGAAACCATTCATCCTCGAAAATCGTATAAAATGAATTCATCATGTGCCGATATACTTTTATTTGCATCTTACAAATGGAATGTTTCTAGACCGTCTCTACTGGCAGATTCTAAAGATACCATGGACAATACAACAACTCAAAAGTATTGGATCGATGTGCAGTTACGTTGGGGAGATTACGATTCGCACGATATAGAGCGATATGCGAGAGCTAAATTTTTAGATTATACTACTGATAACATGTCCATTTATCCATCACCGACCGGAGTCCTCATAGCTATAGATTTAGCTTATAATCTTCACAGCGCTTACGGTAATTGGTTCCCCGGTTGCAAGCCTTTAATTCAACAAGCAATGGCTAAAATAATGAAAGCAAATCCAGCTTTGTATGTTTTGCGTGAACGTATTCGAAAAGCTCTTCAATTGTACTCATCTGAACCTACGGAACCTTATCTTTCATCTCAAAATTACGGAGAATTATTTTCAAATCAAATTATTTGGTAAATATTGTAAATTAAGATTTTTTTCTCACTTATTTGTTTTTATTATACATTTTTTTTAAAAATCTTTTAGGTTTGTCGATGACACGAATGTGTACCGAGTAACTATTCACAAGACGTTTGAAGGAAATTTAACCACAAAACCAATTAACGGAGCAATCTTTATATTCAATCCTAGAACGGGGCAATTGTTTTTGAAAATAATTCACACCTCTGTTTGGGCCGGTCAAAAACGTTTGGGACAATTGGCAAAATGGAAAACAGCCGAAGAAGTAGCTGCTTTAATTCGTTCATTGCCCGTCGAAGAGCAACCGAAACAAATTATTGTTACTAGAAAAGGTTACAATAATAATAATGGATTTCTTCGTTGTATTTTTTATTTCAAAAAAATGAAGTCTTTTATAATTTAAAAAAAAAATTTACTTTTTTAGGTATGTTGGATCCGTTGGAAGTACATTTACTTGATTTTCCAAATATTGTAATTAAAGGATCCGAACTTCAGTTGCCTTTCCAAGCTTGTTTAAAAGTTGAAAAATTTGGTGATCTGATTTTAAAAGCTACGGAACCTCAAATGGTGTTATTTAATCTTTACGATGACTGGCTAAAAACTATTTCCTCCTACACGGTAAGTCGTAGTAAATAAATGCATTTTCATTATTCGCAAACCTATTGAATTTATAATTCTTTGTTATTATTTTTAGGCATTTTCTCGTTTAATTTTAATTCTTCGAGCTCTTCACGTCAATACGGAAAGAACAAAAGTTATTTTAAAACCAGATAAAACCACCATTACTGAACCTCATCACATTTGGCCTACTTTGACCGATGAAGAATGGATTAAAGTTGAAGTGCAACTTAAAGACTTAATTTTAGCCGACTACGGAAAGAAAAATAAGTATGTAACAGTAATTATTTAAAAATTTTAAAGTATAAAATAGTTTTTTTAAATTTTCTCGTATTAAAAATTTCATGTTTTCATCCTATTTTTTTTTTTTAGTGTGAATGTTGCCTCTTTGACTCAATCTGAAATTCGAGATATAATTCTTGGAATGGAAATAAGCGCTCCATCTGCTCAACGTCAGCAAATAGCCGAAATCGAAAAACAAACAAAGGAACAATCTCAATTGACTGCAACCACAACGAGAACTGTAAATAAACACGGTGATGAAATAATCACGGCGACAACTTCGAATTATGAAACTCAAACGTTTAGTTCGAAAACGGAATGGAGAGTTCGTGCTATTTCTGCTACGAACCTTCATCTTCGAACGAACCACATTTACGTTTCATCCGATGACATCAAGGAAACCGGATACACTTACATTCTTCCTAAAAATGTACTCAAGAAATTTGTAACCATATCCGATCTTCGAGCTCAAGTACGTTTATTTTTTTTCATTCTATTTTTATTTAAATCATTAAACCCATAATTACTGGGACTATTGATCTTTTTTTTTTTTTTTTTTTTTTTTTTTCACAGATTGCCGGTTATTTGTACGGAATTAGTCCACCGGATAATCCTCAGGTAAAAGAAATTCGGTGCATAGTTATGCCGCCGCAATGGGGAACCCATCAAACCGTTCACCTTCCCAATCAATTGCCTCAACATCAATATTTAAAAGAAGTCGAACCCTTGGGTTGGATTCACACTCAACCCAATGAATTACCACAGCTGTCTCCTCAAGATATTACCACTCACGCCAAAATCATGGCGGAAAATTCATCGTGGGATGGAGAAAAAACAATAATAATCACGTGCTCTTTTACTCCCGGTTCTTGTTCTCTAACGGCTTATAAATTAACTCCAAGGCACGTGTAAAAGTTACCGTTACCGCTAAGTTTTTTTTTTTTTTTATATGAGCCTAATACCATTTATTATTATAACGATATATATATATATAAGTTAAGAATTTTGATTATTACAGCGGTTACGAATGGGGTCGTCAAAATACCGACAAAGGAAATAATCCCAAAGGATATTTACCGAGTCATTATGAAAAAGTACAAATGTTACTGTCGGATAGATTTTTAGGTTTTTTTATGGTTCCGTCGCAAGGGTCGTGGAATTATAATTTTATGGGTTTGTATAAGTTGTTACAAAGTGTATTTATTATTTTTTTAAATAATTTTATAAGTAAATTTAATCTGATTTTTTTTTTTTTTTTTTTTTTTTTTTTAATTAAAGGCGTACGACACGATCAAAATATGAAATACGAGCTTCAATTATGTAACCCTAAAGAATTTTATCACGAAGTTCATCGTCCTGCTCATTTTCTCAATTTTTCATCTCTGGAAGACGGGGATGGAGTGGGTGCGGATCGGGAAGACATGTTTGCATAAACGTCACATTGTTTTCAAAGTAAGTGAATTATTTGATTATTAAATTGGTTCTTGGGGGGTCGATGGTTAATAGGCGAGTATGAATGTTGCAAATCGTTTTTAACCTTTGAGGACGAAATTTTAACTGAACGTCTTACTCGTTTATAATTTTTTTTTTTTTATTTTGACTTATTTAATTACGCAAAGCAGTATTTTTTTTTTTTTCATTTATAAAACTACAAATCATTTTATTACAAATTTAATTTAACAATAAATAGACAATTATAATAATAATAATAATAATAATATTAAGTTATAGAATAGACGAAGGAAAAATTCACACTGACAAATATTTTGACAATTTTAATTAACAAAAAGAGAGAGAGACTAGACTTTTTACTTTTAAAGATTTTTTTTTTTTTTTTTTTTTTTATTCGAAAACAAACATTTACACGTGAAAAGACATTATTTAATTTAAAATGAGAAATTTTTTTAGGATTTGATTGAATTATTGTTTGGTTGAATGAGATACGGGGTTGGTTTTAGTTATTACGTCATGCGTTCGAGTATAGTTTTTCCATGGAAAATATTTACGTACTTTTTAAACTCTGTCGCGAAAATGACTTATTGATATCGAATTATTATTATTATTATTATTATTATTATTTAGTTTTGAGATTTATTCCGATTTTCCGTCAGACTCATTTGCATACTTCTTCCCGATGCGGGGGGATTGTGAGATTGTGAACTCATTGATCCGGACATTTTATAAGAAGAAGTGTGAGTTTCGGGTTCTTTGGGTGCGAATCGTGGGCAGAATCTCGTACTTAAAATCCTTCTTATTTTTCTACTGCAAACGAATATCCAGAAAATAAAAAGTCCCTGAAATTAACAAGCGTTAAAAAAATTCGCCATTTGTAAATTAAAATATTATGGATGAGAATAAGATTGAAAGAAAAAACTTACTAAACTTATCGGCTTCGGTATATAAAAATAAAAATAAAAAAAAAAGAGAGAGAGAGAGAGAGAGAGACTGATAGCAAGCTGGTCATTACACGTATTTTTATATTTAACGGTTAAGAATAAAACTAACTTAAACGTATGTTGTAAGCAAAAAAAGTATTCGAATAGCTTATGGAAGTGTTAAAATCGGATTAAAAATGGTGGAAGCATTTTGTGTGTGTGTGTGTGTGTGTGTGTGCGTGTGTGTAGTAGGTGCACATGAAGGGGATTTGGAAAGGAGGTAGGAGGAGGTAGGAGGTAGAGGAAAAAAAAAATTTATTTTTTCTTTCTTTTTAAATTATGAATGAAGCAGTAATGTGTTTGTTTTGCTCGATTTAGATGCTGTGCGTGAAAATCTTTTCGATATCCTTTTTTTTGTAGACTTTGTTAAAACGCAAATGACAAAAATAAGAACACCCTGAAAACAACAAAATTTTCAAAAAAAATTTTTTTAAATGGAGTGAGTGCGTGCGTGCGTGCGTGCGTGTAGAAGAATCAAAAAGTTAATTAATGTTATTACAAAAGCGATAAACATGAACGAATAATAGGAACCTAACCGGAAATAATAACCCCTAAAACACGTTTAAATAAATAAATAAATAAATCGGGGGAGGGGGAGGGGGCGGGGTGTTATCAGGTTACCTGTAAGGAATTCATAAAATCGGTAAAGTACCAAAATTCTTTGGGTCCTTCGAACAACCAACTTATTATTTCCGTAACCCAATTTATTCCCATAACTAGGAAAAGTTTCAGATACAAATTATACCTGGAAATAAAATTCGATAAAACGTTAACTTTATCAAGGTATGCTTTAAAGGTATTATAACTTTGGGTTCTCTCTCACCTTTGCTTATTCGTTTCTTCATTTCTACGATTTTCGTTTTGCATCAAAACTTTGGTTTCCTTTCGCACTTTGCATATTTTAAACGCGGTCAATACGAATAACGTTATGTCGCAAATGACGATGACAGCCATGGGAGCGTAAAAGTAGACGAGAGTTGCAATTTTCGCTTAAAAAATAGGAAAAGCATATGTTTAAAATTTTTTTTTTTTTTGTTTGCGTACCTGTATAGAATAAGCGGGAGGCTATGAGAAAAAAGTTATCATTATTATTCTTAGGGGTTTAGTAATTAAAAACTTACTTACTCTCGAAATAGCATTTTTTAGTTCCTATATTTGGTTTGATGATAAAATCAGGGACGTTGGGCGAATAATCTATGGCCACGGTGACTAATAAGATAAGGGTTGGACAACCCCACGCGTAAAAAGAATATAAAATGTATTTTTTCAATTCTTTTACTTTAACTCGTCCGCTAAATTTTCCAAATCCACTGAAATCGGAAAAAAAATGTTTTGACGTTTTTATTTCTCCGAGATAAAGTTAAATTTTTTTTTTTTTGTTGGGGAGGAAGATGATGATAATGATGATATCTTTGTGGCGTTTTTTTTTTTTTTTCTAGAAGGACACGCCCCTCGGACACTGACACCGATTTTTCATTCAAATAATAAAATGGGGGTGGGGGGTGGGGATGATGAAAAAAAGGAGAGAAAAGGTTCGTTTACCACCACCTTTTTCCCTTTTACATTTTCCTACGGAAAGGTTATCGCGTAATAATTAACCTGATTATGTTTTCTTTTTGTTCTTTTTGTTGAAAAGGTTAAAAAATGGGGTAGGAGGGAAAAATAAATGACAATTTTCTTTTGAAACTTTAACCGAAAAAGGATATTATTGAAAAAAAAATTTTCATGACGTAATGACTAATGCAGTCGGATTTGTGTTGATCAAACACGCGTGTGTGTGTGCGTGCGTGCGTATGACTAAGGAATAAATAATTTGATTTGAAAAGTGAAACGTTTGTAAAAATTTTAAACGAAGATTTTTTTCTATTCAAGAAAAGCCATAATGGTCGAATTAAGTTTGAAAGAAAATTGTTGGGTAGGGAAGAAAACGTTGGTTGTTGATCCACGTTTTAAAAAAAAAAAAAAATGTTATTAATGTGATATTTTATTAGTTTTGTCCCGAATGTAATTCGATATTAATAAGAGTCATAAAGTGATAATAATAATAATAATAATAAGGGAAAAAGTTGTCGATTGGAAACGAATGGAAAAGAATGATTTCCTTTTACGAGATTACGTTCATAAGATGTTGACTTTGTCAACGACAACCAAAGTCTTATCTTGTCGTATTTGAATGGAAAGAGTTTGTAGGGTTGTTTGTTTGTTTGTAGGGATGAAAATTTTCCTCATCTAAATTTTTTTTTTTTTTTCGGTCTTCCTCGTTTCGTCGTCGTAAACGATTATTATTATCAAGACGAGTTTGAAAAGGAAATGTATCGATTGCGGGTGTGAATTTTTTTTTCTTCATAAATTTTCATTTGTAAATATTGAGAAAATTTTTACGTTTAGTTATTATTTGTATTAGATAAAAAAAAAAAAAAAATCTATTTGTTTAAATCACTCAAACACAATAATTTTCGTGTGACGTGTGCGTGAGTAAATAACAAAAAAAAAAAAACACGACATTGTCGTCGGGGATTGTGTGTGAAATTTCCGTTTACCACGGGATAAAATGTTAATAATAATAATAATAATACTATTAGTACTACTAAACGTTATCAATTGTTAGAATTGATGACAAAAAAAAAAAAAAAAAAAATTTACTTACCTAAATGTCGACCATATGTCAAAACACATAACGTTCAACCAGAAAAACGTAGCCAAAAATCCATACTGGGTTAAAAATCCTGTAAAAAGAAAAAAAAAAAAAAAAAAGGAAAACATTAACGATTGTACCTCCTGAAAATTTTTCATCTCTCTCTCTCTCTCTCTCTCTCTCTCTCTCTCTCTCTCTCTCTCTGTCTCTTTGAATCAATCGAATATTCTTTAACTTAAACTCGCAAGGAAGTGAAAAAATTTTTTTGTCGTGTTTATTATTGTGTTACGTCATTTCCGTTTCGAAATATTTTTATTTTATTTTATTTTATTTTTATTTTTTTTCGTCGTTTGTTTCCGAAAGTAAAACAAACGGTCGTCGTCGATAAAAAAAAAAAAAAAAAAATTATTGTTGCTGTCGGAATTGCTGTCGTTATTGCTGTCGTTAATGTAATTTTTTAAAAAAAAAAAAAGAAAGAAAAGGTTCTGTAATTTTTCTACGAGGGAATTTTACGAGGTTTATCCTTTTTTATTTTTAGAATAATAATAATAATAACGTTTCGCTTTCGTTCCTTTATTGATTCCATTGGAACAAATATTACCGAGGGGGAGGCGGGGGGAGGGGCGGTGGCGAGGGTGGTTTTCTTTCTTTAATTAAAAAATTAGAATGTGATTCACGTTCCCCGAACGTGAAAATTAATTTTTTTTTTTAAAAAGGTGTGACGACAGGTTGTCATTAATAATAATAATAATAATAATAATAATTAAAATTCATTAGTCGCTCGATCGTTTGTGACTGTGACTCCCCTCTCCTCCCCTTCCCTTTCCCCCCGTTCATTTATTAAAAGGGGAAAGGGGAAAATGAAATTTGATAGTTTTCTTACCGCAAATAATGCAAAGTGTATCACTTATTGTGTTGCCACCCAATTGAGTTGTCACGAGTGCTATGTAAGCAGTTAGAAGGGATGCAACTTCGCTCATTAAATTTTTACCATGAAGGTTTCTCAATTCCGGAAGTGAGTAAACGATAAAGGTTGCCAAAAGAAATGGCATCGATATAATCATTCCGACCTGAAATTGAACAAACGATTTGTGTTTTGTGCATTGCGTTAAAGGTAAATGTATGTTTGTTTTGTTTGTTTTTGTTTCCTTACAGGATAAGCAATCATTTTTTCCGGAGGCTGCGGTTCTTCTGGAAAACAAACAAAAGCTTTCAATATAATCTCTTCGTAATCCGAATTCAAATCATCGTTTGAATTCCTGATGATGTTTTCAAAGCAAAACTGCGACGCGTCGTACGCAACGTTATCATTTGGAAGGACGAGAGTTCCATTCGTGATGAGATAGTATTCGTCCGTCGGATAGACTTCGGGTTCCAGTTGATACGATTTATATTTGCAAGTGTCACCTGGAAGGAAAGAAAGAGCGAATAAAAATTCACGAATGAAGGGCCATTACTTGAATGTGAGAGAGAGAGAGAGAGAAAAAGAAAACGTACCGAAAGCCCTGTGAAAATTGGATATGCCATAATCGGGAATGTAGGCATAGCCCTCCGTGAAAACGGCGGGTTTTATGTCGAGATCACGTGGTTTGCACGTATTGTTTATGAAAACTTGTCCTTTGAGGCAACATTTTCTCAAGCAAGGCGTTGTCGTGCATATGCACACCCTTTAACACATAATTTATTAATATTAGTGTTATTACTACCACTACTACTATCGCCATTTTTATTTTATGAAATTGACACGCAAAATAATAATAATAATAATTAGTTGCGAATGAATTTTACCTAAAGTGAGTTGAATTAAATTTTTGATAAAAATTTTTCTCATAAGTTATTTCGTTCACGTGTAAAACATTTTCATATTCACGTCCTCGAACAATTGCTGTCAGAAATTGATGGCAGGATAATAAATCAGCAGTCTGTGAAAATAAATAAATAATTGAGTTAATATTTAAAACAAATTTTTTTTTTTTTTTATTGTACAAAGTTTCATTTTAAATAAATAAATAAATAAATGATAATAATAATAATTATTTTTATTTTTTCGTTTGAATTAATAATTTATTATTAAATCATACCAACAAAAATAAATTAAATTATGGGGAGCCAATGTCATGATAAATTTTATTTAGAAAAAATGGCGAAAATAGTTTTTAGTTTTCTGAAAAGATTTTTTGATAATTTTTTTAACATTTAAGCACGTATTATAACAATTTTAGTTTAGTTTAGTTTAAAAACTAATTTATATTTAAGAAGTCCATGTAGTTTGTCGCTTACAAACGGAGGAAAATTACTAAAAAAATAATAATAATAATAAAATAAGGTGACCATATATATATATATATATATATATATATATATATATAATTATAGCGTGATAAAAGTACATAGGATAATATTAATTATCACCTGAATTAATAATAATAATCCGCCATTTTTTTTTTTTTTTTTATTATTTGATTTATGTTTTATGTTTTTTTTTAATTACTTATGCAAAAATAAATAAGTAAAATAATTTTCTTCTAGTTATTACGATGATGATGATGATGATGATAGTTTTTTAAGTAAATTAAATTCTAAAAATATAACAACAAATAAAATAATTTTAATTTAAATTAAAAAAAAAAAAAAAAAAAGGGAAAAGTACTGAACAAAAAATGATGATGGAGGAAAAATCATTTAATTAAAGATTTTCTTTTATTATTTCCCGAAGGAAGAAAACAACAGCAAAGTTCAATTTTCTAAAAATTTAATTAAAAGGAATAATATATTATTAAGGCGTTTCTTAAATTAGAAATAAATATCATCATTATTATCATCAGACGAAAGGTTTCATTTTATTAACTATTAAAAATAATATCGTAGTAATCGGTTTAGATTTTAAAGTAAAAATAATAATAATAATTAATAAGTAAATGTAATTAAATAATTAATAATCACGTGGTAAAAAAAAAAAAAAAAAAAAAAAAAAATTTTTTTTTATGTCTACCTTATGAAAAAATAGATTTTAACGGGTTCATTTACTATTATCATTATTATTATCATCATCATTATTATTATTATTATTATTAGATTTTATCTTATCATGCCCATCCTTATGATTTGTTGAAAATTTTAACTTGTTATTAAATATTTCGTGATTTTAAATGTTTTTTTTTTTTTTTTTAAACAAATTATTATTATTATTGGTGAAAATTAATTAATAATTTATTCTTATTCACCTAATTAATTAATTATTAACTTATTAATTTATTAAATAAAACTCGAAATTATCAACCACGTTTTATTAAATAAAATCGTATTAAAATAATGACGTAAATAAATTTTTATTAAGAAAAAAATAGTCATAAAACGTGTTGATACGTAAAAATAATAATTTTTTCACAATATAAAACATGAAAAATTTATTTAATTAATTTATTTATGTAGTTTTTATTAACAAGGTTAAATTTTTATTTATTTGTAAACCGGAAATGGATATATTTAATTTTAAAAACCGCGAATTTTTTTGTTATTGGTTAATAATAAATAAAAATGTGTGGTCGTCGATATATCAATTTTTTTATTTTTTTCGTTATCGATTATTATTATTATTATTATAAAATCATCATCATCATCATCATCATCATTATTATTAATTAATTTATTTCACTTTTTATTATAAAATTAATAATTTTTTTTTGTAATATGCATATTAACACAAATAACAGATGTTTTTAATATTATTAACACAAGCATACTCACTAATATCCGTAAATAATAATTTTACATAATGTAAATAAAATTAATAATAATAATAATGATGATGATACATACATAATTTAATAAAACGATAAATTAATTACAATTTCCACACGCATGCACTTTTATCCATTTATTTATTTTTTTCGACAAAATTAATTAATTTATTTATTAATTGATTAATTAACTCACCGAATAATTAAATGAAATTGTCATAAAATAAAATAAAATAATAATAATAACGTTTAAACAATAACAAATCGCCATTTGAAAACGAATTGACAAACTTCGGATTTAGGCGAACCGCGAACTTACCGCCTCCCTCCCGCCTCCCTTCACGTATCCCGAACGAATCGAAACAACTCGTCGTCGCCGTTGCCGCCGCCGCCACCGCCACCACCGCCTTCCAGAAAGACTCGTTTCAAACTGTTTTTTTTTTCATATCTTATTATTATTATTATTATTATTATTATTATTTAACTTATTGATAAAATATCAATTTATTGATTTGAATTGTTATTAATAATAACGTAAATAATAATAAAAAGTCAAAACAACTTTTTAATTTAAATGTTTTTTACCTTATATATATTATTTACATGAGAAAACTTGCCAAAAAAATTTTTTTTTTTTATTTCATTTGTTATTATTATTATTATTATTATTAATACTAATCCTTTTACCGTGATATTATTATTTATGTTGATTAAGCAAGTTTAAAAATTATTGTCAAAGTTCATTTATTTATTTGAATTATAATAATAATAATAAAAAAAATTACTTTCTATTTTCTTACCTTTTTGTTTTCTGATTATTACGTAATAATTAATAAGCTTTAAAAAAAAAAATTTTCTTTTATCCTCTCTTTCTAAATTTGGTTTTATTTATTTTATTTTTTTCTCTGTCTCTCTCTCTCTCTCTGTAAAAGAGAGAAATATTTTAAAACGCGAAATAATTTATTTATTGATAACATACTATCTCGTAACGATAAAAAATAATTACACAACGAAAATTATGCTATACAATTAATTTTGAATTTTCACTTTGTTTCTTTTTTCTTTTCTTTTTTTTACTCGTTACACGCACAAAAACTACAATTTTTTTTCAAAAAATTTTTTTATTCTAAATTTTAACCGTTATTTTCAAAAATTTTTTCGAATCGTTTTTAATTAGAAACACTCGCACCATCTATTGATAAAATTTTAAAACGCTTAATTTGAATTTAATCATCATTCATTTAATTTAATGGAGAAATCATTGCAAACTACCCGTAAAACATAATTTTTAAGAGGTTTACTTTTGTTGTTGCCTCGTCCCGTGTAATTTCGACACTACCGAAATATAATCTGTTTACTGATTGCGCCGCGTCATCTATCGTTAAAAACCGTAAACTGTTTATTTGAATTAGTTCATTTTTTTCTCACGGCGTTGCGAGCGCTCTCATATAAAATTTATATTTGCAGCGCCATCTATTATCAAAATCGTAAACTAAATTATCGTTCGATTAAAATATATTAAAAAAAATATGATTTTACACCTCCCAGCTAATGGCGAAATTAAATTAATGTTTTTAATTATTAAATAGTACCTGAAACCATATTAAATTCCAACAAAATAAAAAAAATTTATTTAAAAAATAATTAAAATACGATTATCCTTTCGTTCAATTTTACAAAAACCTCACAATTCAACAACAACTGAATCGATAAGTAGGTTGAGGAGTTTTAGGTTAAGGTATTAAAAACCTAAATATATATAAAAATTACAAAAGTTACAAACAAACTATTAAATTAATTTTATTTTATTATTTTTTTTTTTTTTTACTGCGATTGATAAACAATGAAAGAAATTTAACGGGGCATTTTACTATTTACACTCCTGAAAAAGAAAATGAATAATAATTTAATTAACATTCATATAATATTAATAAGTAAATTAAAAAATTTTTTTTAAAATGAATTTGGAAAAGAAACATTATTGTTTATCATCATTATGTCGATCATTTTTTTTTTTTTTATTAATTAATAATGTCCATTTCGTCGATTGGTGAGGCTCATTCAATTAATAACTATTATGTTTATCATTTTCTGTTTAAAAAAAAAAAGTTTTCTTTTATTTCCGCCTGATTTAGTATACATAAATATTAATAAATTTAATAAAAAAAAAAAAAAAAAAAAACCTATCTCTATTTAAATAAGGCTTTTACAATTATATTTAATTTTACATATTCCCGTTAATATATATAAATCAATTTAAAAATTTTAATAAAATATTAAAATTAACAAATTCAAAATTCAAAAAAAAAAAAAAAAATTCCCAATATGGTACAAGGAAGAAGAAAATAATTTTTCTTTTGTTTAAAAAATAATAACAAAAAAAAATTTTTTTTTTAAATTAAATACCTATTTAATATATGTATACATACATATATTTATTTTTTTTCTCTCTCTCTCTCTCTCAATGATTATTAGTTAATTAATTTTTTTTTATCTAAAAAAATTCTAATTAATAATGAAATTATATATAAATGCATATAACCAAAGCAACATTATCGACAATAATTAAACATTTAAATACATTTTTTTTTTTAAACAAATTTCAATTAAAAATTTTTTTTTTTTTTGATAAACGACAAATTTCAAAAAATAAATTTCAATTTATTTTCTAATTCAAAAAAAAAAAAAATTTTAAACCTTTTCCTTTCTTTTTATATTCAAAATAAAATAAAATAAAAAAAAAAAAAAAAAAAAAAAACTTTTCAATATTTTATTCACGTTTTTAATTATTTTAAGGAGGAATAATAAATGATAATTAAAAAAAAAAAAAAAAAGGGATGAAAAGAAGTGACGTCATCTATTAATGATGACGTGTTTAAAAAAAACCATTTTAAAATTTTTTTAAATTAAAATAATTTTTTTTTTTTGTTTTCCAATAATAAATAATAATACAAAATACTTTCTCGTTGAATTCGATAATACAATTTTTTATCAATCAGGTTTTTCCCCTCCCCCTCCCTCCCTCCCCTTCTCCTTTATTAACGTTTCTCAAGGCACAAAAACATTGATTTGTTATTGTTTTATAAGAACAAATTCAACATTTTCCACCATTTTTTACATAGAAAAACGTTTTTCTTTTTTTTTTCCAGATAAAAATATTAATTATGGATATGTTAGAAAAAAAAAAAAAAAAAAAAAAATTTTCCGGGTTTTCTTTTATAATTTAAAAGTGTGCTTAAATATTTATATCTGTACATAAATATATATATATATGTATGAATAATTTTTTTAAAAACCCAAAACAATTCTATTCAACATCATTTAAAAATTGTTGTAATTTTTTCAGCTCACTCCTTCATTTTTTATTTCTAACGCTTTTTGCCTGAGCAAAACAATGCTTTTGTATAGTTTTATAGCCGGACCCAGTTTGAAACCTAATATTTGAACAAGATCATTTTGTGACAACATGAGAAGAGCCTCACCATCGATTTGATGCTCTGTGAACAATTTACCCTTTTCGGAAGAGCTATTTATATTTTCAACGAACGCGGCTACTTGACTAGGCGTCCAACATAATGGATTAGATCCAATCGAAGCTACCGTTTCACTGATGTCCCACCTGTTTTTAGACCAAACCACCGGATCGTTCCTCGTTCCCGGATCCACGTTTTCTTCCATTAAATTATTTACTCGTGATTTTTTCTTCGTTAGTAAGTTCGGAGGAGGTTCCCTGTAACTTTTTTTTTTTTTTTCTTTTTTAAATTTTTCACTTGACCTGATTTTTTTTTTTTTTTTTTTAACTCATTCGAATAAATAAAAAATTTTTTTTTTCTTTTTTTTTTTTTTTTTTTAATTAAGTTATTAAAAAGAGTAAATGACAACTCATGATGAAAACAATTTTTTTTTTTTTTTATTACAATTTTCCCCTTACACAATTTTTTTTTTTTTTTTTTTTTTTTTTTAAAAAAAAAAATGTAATTTCATTTCAAATGTAAAAAACTTACAATTTTCGTTTTCTTCCCCGATTGTCTGTTTTAGGAACTGGAAGAATTGATCCATCGCATTTGTTTTTTCTAGGAATTCCAGGCCTTGGTTTAGTTCTAGAAAAAATCAAAAAAAAAAAAATTAGCAAATTGAATGTTAATTTATTTTTAATTTCTTTTCTAATCATCTTACCCTTTTGAAGCTGAAGTTTCTTTTACTTCGTAGTACTCTCTCTTAGAGCAAAATCTATCCGGAATATGATCGTCACGAAGATAATTCATCGATGAATAAGGACAAGATAGTATCATATGATGAACGGGATGTTTTCCTTTCACGTGTCCGATCCCTCGACAACCAGGCGTTGGACAAATCGAAGTATTTTTAATGTCTTCTTCAGCTAAAACAAGCAAATAACAAAAAATTACAATTAAAATGAAAATTTAAAAACCATTTTGTGTGTTAGTAAAAAGAAAAACGAGTTACAAGGAGGAGGTTCCAAAGGATGACCAGTTTTATGACACCATCCTGCTGGATGTATATCAGGGCTATCATCGTCCAACCAGTAGGCATATTGATCGGGCCATCCATCGAATTTAATTTTTATTTGTTGAACGACAATATCAACTACCGTAGCTACACGTATCAAAATTGGATTTCTTTTGTCAACGCATTCGAGTTTCATGCCCCTACGAAAATCTGTCGTTGTGCGAGGCTTGAATGCCCTCGCTGGAGCTGGTAAACTTTTTGTTTCCCTCAAGTAAAAATCCCACGAAAAGAGGGAGGGATGTTTATAATCTAAAAGAAATTTCATTTACGATTACTTATAAATGCATGTTTTGATTTAAAACACTCAAATAATCGAGTGGTTCTTACCGTTTGGAGGAGTCAACTGATGTCCGTTTTCTTTGCACCATCCGACGGGATGAATATAAGGAGACGTACAATCCACCCAATAATCGTATATGTCATCCCAACTGTCAAAATGAACTAAAATTCTGTTGTCGAGAACATCAGCGATTGTGGCAACACAAACCAATGAAGAATTCTTTTTATCAACTGCTTCCAGTTTCATACCAGCGCGGAAACCGCTGGGTATAATAGGTCTCTCCTGATTATTAACAAAGCAACTTTTGGGTGCTGCTACGGTTCTCGTCATTCGAAGGTAATTTCCCCAATTGAAATTTTTTCAGCGTAGCCTTTGGGAGCACTTAGTTTATGATTAGTACGCTCGCACCACCCGGCATGAAAGATATCACTAGAATTAGCATTGACCCAAAAATCGTGGCAATCGGGGTAGCCATCAAAATGAAGTTTAATACGATAACCCCTTACCGCAGCCACGGTAAGAACACAAAATAAAGACGGATGCACGGGGTCTATACCTTCGAGTTTCATACCGATTTTAAAGTTATTTCTAGCAGTGGGAAAAGGATCTTTAAAAAGTGTATAAGGAGCACTTTTTGCTTTGAGTAAAGTTAAATATCTTGTCCAAGAAAACGAACCTTTGGAAGATGAACGCAATTTATCGGTATTACTCGAAGTGCCAGATCCACTTTCACCATCTGAATCCCCAGCGTTGGTTTTCATGAGTTCCCTTTCCATTCTGAGCATTTTAATTTTTTCTTCAATGGTCACTTTTGCTTCGTGTAAACCAAGTTTTTCAAGTTTGGCTCTTTGTTGCATCAATAATGATTTTTGTTGCTTTAATTTCATTTTTTTCTCTTGTTTCAATAATAATTTTTTGACCGATTGCGCTTTCTCTTCTGCATAAGCTTTACTGCATGCCACACTGCAAAATCTAAAACTTACGAATTCGCAACCCATACCGTAGGTTCCGCAAGAGTGACAACATAAAATTTCATCTGAACTACGAGAAGGCTTTTGTTTTTGTTTATTATCATTTCTTTCAGCGTCGGAAACAACAGAACTTTTTGATGAAATTTTGCCTTCTTCTTCATCATCTTCGACAACTTCTATAAGTCCGAATTCGTTTAAACGAAATTTGAGATCGCTTAGTGGTAGAGACCCAATGTTATCCGACCATTCCAAACATTTGATGGGGTCAAATTTTTCTGCTTCAGGATTGCTTTTATCTTTTATGTTTTCCTTTTCAGGATCAGAAATTTCACTAAAAGCAGTTTCTTTTTCAGATTTGGAAGTGTCATCCTCCACTTTACTGCTACTTTGATCTTCTTCTTTAATTACAGATTGAGCTTCATTTATTTCGGAATCAGTTTTTTCTTTCTTGGAAGGATTTAACTCGACGTTTACTTCTGAATTATTAGATTCTAGAGTAGTAGTAGGCTCTTCAGAATCTTCTGTTTTAATTTCTGTGCTTTCGAAATTAGGTTCAACACATTGTATAGCATCTTGTTTAACTTCCAATTCTTGTTTACGCCTATGTTTTAAAACTCCTACATCAGGTTTCGAAACTTGGATTTCAGTTTTTGTATTTTCAATTAAATCTATGACCAAAGGTGGAGAAGGATCTTGAACTTGAGTTTCATTGTCGTCATTTTTCTTATTTTCATCTTCATTTTCTTCGTTTTCCGGTTTATCGGGATTTTGTTTAACTACTTCCATACCGTAGTTTTCATACAACAACGACAACATGTGTGGTTTGGTTACTTTTTCAGCCAAAATTTGACCATTCGATATTTGAAAACTTGTGATTGTTCCTGGAGAATTTGAAGAAACTATTTGTCCCAGACTTGTGGCTTGCATTTTTCCAGTCCCTTCTTGTTTTTTCCATTTAACAGGAACCAAAACTTGGCTTGAACCACTTTTATAACTTGTTCCACTTCGCGGAAAAACGTATTTCGTAGTCTTAGATTTTTGGCTTGAAGATTCGACAGAAGAATTATCAGACTTAGAAAAAGATACCACTTCTGTTTGTCCTTCTTTTTCTTTTGGAACTACATCATTCGGTTTAGGAGAATTTATGGGACCACTGCTTGTAGATGAAATTGGTGTCTGAACTTTATTAATTGTATTGTCTTGCTTTGATACAGTAACAGAATTACTATTTGACTGAACTAGTGAAGTGCTAGATTTTGTTTGAAGACTACCTTCAGTTGTTAATAAAACTTGCAAATGTTTTCCTTTTGAACTTGGTACTTGAGTGTAGACAACATTTTGGGGTAATGATTTTTGAGTTTTCGGAAGTATGTAGGTAGGTGATTGATTTACTGGCACAGTATTAGCAGCAGACACCAACAATA